GCCAACATAAATTGTCATTTACTACTAGTGATTCTGTATCAAATAATCCGTTTGATCTTATTCATGCTGATGTTTGGGGACCTTATAAAGTTGAGACTTATAATGGTTTTAAATATTTCTTAACACTTGTTGATGACTATTCAAGATACACTTGGGTACACCAGATCAAACATAATAGTTATGCATTTACTCTTATTCAAGCCTTTATCAAGTATGTTAAGAATCAATTCAACATCAATGTTAAAACTATAAGAACAGACAATGCTTTTGAAATGGGTTCAAGCAATGAAGGTATTAAGTTTTTTCAAGAACAAGGAATCATTCATCAAAAATCATGCCCACTACCCCTCAACAAAATGGAATTGTTGAGAGAAAACATAAACACTTATTGGAAGTTTCTAGAGCATTATTTTTTCAATATGGAATTGGTAAAGCTTATTAGGGAGAGTGTGTTCTTACTTCTGCATATATTATCAACAAAATACCTTCCAAAATTATCAACAATTTTTCACCATATGAAATGTTGTTCAAAGTCAAACCAGATCTCAACAACTTAAGGTCTTTTGGATGTCTATGTTATGCTTCCACAAATTCTCATAATAGAGATAAATTTCAACCAAGAGCAGATACATGTATATTTGTGGGATATCCTTTTGGGAAAAAAGGATATAAGGTTCTCAATTTAAATACCAAGGGTATTTCTATCACAAGGAATGTTGTTTTTATTGAAGACAAATTTCCATTACACAATGGTTATACTTTGATTCTTCATATTTTCCTACTATATTTGAAGAACCTTCTCAGTCACTAAATGAACTTCAACCTTCCTTTTATTCAAATGATCAATTCATTGAACCGAATGATCATATTCCTGAACCACCTCAATCACCTCAACAAAATCCTACTCAACCTCAACCTCAATTACGAAGAACAACCAGAATAACTGTCAAACCTGCCCATTTAAATGATTATATCTACTCAAATATTCAAACTCATGATGATTGTTTTGATGAATGTTCCAATACAATCACCAACTGGTTCATACCAAACAAGCCATCTTTTGATCACTATATCAATCAAGTTGATTTCTTAGCTTTCAACGTTCAATCAAAATTGTTGAGCCCTAATTTTATCATCAAGCTAAGGGAAATCCTTTATGGGAAGAAGGAATGAAGAAAGAATTTGATGCATTACATTCTAATCATACCTGGGATATAGTTCCTCCTCCAAAGGGTAAGAAACCATTTTCATGCAAATGGGTTTATAAAGTGAAATATAAATTGGATGGAACAATTAAGAGGTACAAGGCCAGGCTTGTGGCAAAGGGCTTCACTCAAAAAGAAGGTATTGACTTTCATGAAACCTTCTCTCCAGTCATAAAATTCAATACAATCAGATGTCTTATCAATCTTGCAGTTAAAAAGGCTTGGAAAATCCATCAATTTGATGTAAATAATGCATTTTTGCATGGTGAATTACATGAAATTGTCTATATGAAATTACCTCCAGGCATGGATTCTTCCTCAAATATGGTTTGCAAATTGAAAAAATCATTGTATGGGCTCAAACAAGCATCACGTCAGTGGTATGACAAATTATCCTATGCTTTACATGATAAAGGTTTTACAAGGTCAAAGAATGATCATTCATTGTTCACAAGGAAAAGTGAAAATTCGTTGGTTATTGTAGCTGTTTATGTGGATGATGTTCTTGTGACTGAAAACAATGAACAAGAGATCCTGGATTTGAAAAGATTACTTCATAAAGGATTTCAAATAAAAGATCTAGGAATGATTAATTTATTCTTAGATCTTGAATTTATTCATACCCAAGATGGGATCATCATACATCAGCACAGGTACATAAACGAATTACTTGTTGAATATTCTGTTTCATCATCATCCCAAATTACTTCTCCACTTCCAAGCAAGATTAAATCTCTTTATACTAATGATGATCCTCTCGTAGATGCCACATCATATCAATAGTTAATAGGCAAACTTAATTTCTTATTGCATACAAGTCCAAATATTGCATTCACTGTGCAATTTTTGAGTCAATTCAATAGTTCTCCTTGTCAAAATCACTTTGATGCAGCAAAACATGCATTGGTTTTTTATTTATAAAATACAATCTACAAAAGTTTACTTTTGAATAATAAACCAAATTATCAGTTGGAGGCTTTTTGCGATACCGATTGGGCTGCCTGCACAACTACCCGACGTTCTGTTAGTGGTTATTATATAACCATGGGAGGAAGTCCTATTTCCTGGAAGTCAAAGAAACAAGCAACTGTTTCTTTATCTTCTGCTGAAGCAGAATATCGTTCCATGAGAAGGGGGTGCTCTGAACTCACTTGGTTAAGTCGATTGCTTACAGAATTTGAAATTCCCGAAATTACCCCTATTCCTTCACATTGTGATAACATGGCGACAATATATATTGCAAAGAATCCAGTCTTCCATGAACCCACAAAAAATATTGAACTTAATTGTCATTTTGTGCGTGAAAAGCTTCAAGGGGGATTGATTTCATTGTTCCACATTCCTACTAAACAACAACCTATTGATGTTTTCACTAAAGTTTTAAATGGTTCAGATCATAATGACACTATTTTCAAGTTGGGTATGATTGATCATCCTCCAACTTGAAAGGGGGGGGGGTATTGGAATATATTTACTCTTATGACAAATGTGTGTGGTTGTATATAGTTCAGGGTTGGTGATGTAAATATTTTGGAAATTTGTTAAAGTTAGTCGTTGTATCTGTTAGAAGAGAGTAGAAGTAGAGAATCTTGTATATAATGAATCTTCTTGATTAATTCTTTTCGATAATGAGAAAAATGACTTCTATCTCTAATTCATTGAAAAAATAACATATATAGGTATCTTTTACCAGAAACTGGACACATTATTTGCTTCTTTCATTGGAACCAAGCAATACAAGTACGTGATTATCTTAACATTATGTTTCTCATGTCTTATTTCCAGAAATTGGAGACACAATATTTTCTTCATTCACTAGACCATGTACTAATGAATGGATTTGTTTACATTCCTAATATAATTTTTTGGTCAAAGGTTTGCTTTTTGAGGGTCTGTGCCTTTTGCAGCCTCATTACTCACATGTAGGGTGGGATGGAGGTAAAAATATTATGATGTTGTACCGAGTATATTACTCTCTCCATTTTCATTCACTTTTACAAGCATTTATTTAGAAAATAAGGTAAAAGGGTAGTCTTACAAGACGTCTGTTGTTGAACTTGCAGGTGTTATTGTAGCTGTCCAAACAGACTCTATACTCATTTTCCTTTTTTGTTATGTCTTTATTTCCATTTGAGTTTGCCATTGATGGTCATATTGCCCTATGGGAGGGCAATAAACATGAACAAAAAATATACGATGGTCATTGTAATGTAGGGATAAACATTAAACATGCCAAATTTTTTGGTCATATAGGTGCATTATCCTTCCATCCATTATCTTTTATGCATATTTTTTTACTTTAAAGTAAAAGTGTTCAAATATATGTTTCAAAATTTAATGTAAATTGTAATAATAAATTTATACTTTAACTAACCTAAATCGACTAATTTACGTTGTGATTGTTAAGAAACTGGAGAAATAATACCTTAACAAAAGGATAATGACTTGACAGAATAACAAAATTTCAACTTTATTAACATTTAGTTACTTAATTTGTTTTCGTGTTTGATTTACCTCTGAGTTATTTGAATTTGTTCACATTTACCTTTATGATCGGTTACAACTGGTCGTAAGGGTAAAATGTAAACATTTCAAATAATTCTTAGCTAAATCAAGCACGAAAAAAAGTTTAGTGACTTAATATGAACTAGTTGAAAGTTATTACCCTTTCAAGGCATTATCCATTATTGTAATCATCCTTTAGTTTATTTTGTTGTGTGTTGTGTTTGTAAGGAGTATTACAAAACATAATGTGTGTCACAAAAGCATGTTGTAGTACATTGCTTTAATGCTAATCAGTGAGATAAACTTTTAACTAGAGTTCCTTTATTTATGTAGAAGTGAAACCCCAACCCACACAAAATAAATAATCAGTAGAGTTTCACAAAGGCAAAAAGACACATATACCTGCAATAAAGGAAATATAAATTGAAAATCAAAAGGAGCATGGTTAGTATGTACATATAAAACCAACATACAAATAGAAAAGATAGATATAAGTAATAACTAGGAAGAAAATTATCAATGAAACAAGTTGAAAGTAAAAACACTGAAAACTAGGCAACATACACAAACAATATAAATGCAACTGACACTTAGACTACTCATGTAGTACTCTTGATTTTGATGTTATGCATCCGTACTCTCTAATCAAAGCATGTGTCCTTGCAAAGAGAAAAACATCATTCAAATTTGACATTGCATTGTTTTCACGCTTATTTATCATATGTTCTCTCTTCCTTACAGATTTACAACGACCATCTTCACCTTATAGAATGAAAAATATTGCATTTGTCCTATGTATATGTATGAAACCACCACAATCTTTGTTTCTTTAATTTATATATGATTAAAGTGGTCTCTATTGTATTTCCAAATGTTGATTCTAGTATCTCATACAATAAAAGTATATCACATGATTACTACTACATCCTTACTTTTGTGACCTTTCATATTTAGTTTGTACTTATTCTTAATAATATTTATAATCATTTACAAGATACTGGTTTAAAGGGTAACGAAATTTCAATTTTTTTTCACATTTAGTCACTTAATTTTTTTCATGCTTGATTCTCAAGTCATTATCCCGATACCCTTATGATTCTCAAGTCATTATCCCCGATACAAGAAACTGATTTCATATGGATTAGACGGACGGTTGCTGGGAAATACCTATCTATGCCCCACAAAGGGGTGTCTAGGCCTTTATGATCATTCATACATATTATTTATTCACATTATAACTTGAACATAGAACTAAAACGGTGAAACAAATCAAAAGCTGTTCATGTAGATTCAAAGACGAATTCCATTTAGGGATAACTTGTAAGGTGCTTTGATATACGCCAAATGAGTCGAGTTTCCAACCCTTGTTAATGTCTTCAAATCATATGCAATCCAGCACCTGGAATCAGCGGTGTGGTAGAAATACCCCATGCAATTGCAGTCCTTGGTGCATTTGCTCTCGCAGTCCCATTGATTGGATACCCAATCTCCCGTTGTGTACTTGGTCATAAAATGGTCAACCCCATCAAGCTTGAAGTAGCCAAAGTCACCTGCTTGACAAGATGTCACCTTGTTTGCCTCACAATCTTTGCTCCACCCACTTAGTCCAAATGGTGTTGGGCATGCAACACACTGGTTATCCTCACATAGCCCAAACTTTTCACATCGTTCCGGCAATTGGCACTCACTTTCTATGGAGTTCCGGTCGAGAAACGTGTAGACCAGTTCCCAGGACACACCTTGCACGTTCGGATTATACGTGTAGAATTTAAGGTTTCCATCTATCCCTAGTCGGAGATACGATAAGGTGTTGTTGTATCGTGAAAACGCCATGTTGCGATTCCAACCGGAAAGTGGGTTTGTGATGTAATAATCAAAAGTCAAGTAATACAGAAAACCCTCATCGGTATCTGGGACCGACGTCAGAGTTAAATTGATCAAACTACCATTGGTCACACTACCGACATCAACAGTGAACCACTCCACAGACGTCCAATAAAGCATTGGGTAAGGCGAGTTAGCGCTCTTGTAATACAAGGCTAACCGCTTAGGCTCCATCACCAAGCTATAAGGTCCGTCAATGTTGTTCTCGGCGGAAGCCCGGCTCACCAGCTTACTAGCACCACCAGCTCGGAGTGATTGACCCACCAAGAGAGTATCAGTTGGGGAATCGAAGCTTGCCATATGAAAGTGCCAGTACCATCATGAAGTACCATGTTACCGGTGGGGAGCACCTGAAAACCGACCACACCCTTGTTGGCGGTATTAGTTTGCCAGGCAATCCGGCCATCGGAATCCGCCAGGACAAGGTTTCCATCTGTACCTAAGGTGAGGGTGGCTTTCTCACCAACTGGGTTCCCCCGGTTAGCTTCCCAAACCCAACGCATGAGCGACTCCGATCGGACAGTACCCATACGTAGAGCGAGAGTGAATGTGTTAGGGGTGGTGTTGTAGAAACAAAGCTGGAATGGGTTACTAAAAGGGGGGAGAGTACGATAATCTGCATCGTACTCGACGATATATTCTCCAAAATCACCTTCGTTTACATAACTGAAGGTGTCTCCAGAAGGCACAATACCTTCAGAGATGGTGGAAAGTAGTTGAAAGCTGAGTAAAAGTAGAAGGGCAGTTGCCAAGTTGGAATTAGGAGAAGTCATTTTCGTTGTGTTTTGAGAGCAGCATGAAAGAGACCTATATATGGATCGGATAAAATCGAAGACGACCCTATTATCCAACATGTACTGTGTAGGATAAGATAAATTAAGAGTTAAATCACTAAAATGATAAAAACGAGAGCAAGAGTATATCACATATTCACATGCCCATCTTTTTTGTAGTTATCACAAAATAACTATTAATACACTAAAGCAGTCTCGACTACCGAAATAAACTTCATGCAAATCTTTACCTAACAAAATGTTGTTTGAGATGCTCTGCTGGTGTCTCTAAATTAATTCGGGAATTAATATTTTTGTTAAAGATTGGATGATTAGACAATATTAGAGCATAAAATGTGATGCTCGTTTTACTTTTTGAATTTGGAGTTCCCTCGTACAGAATTAGGCATAACACATATCAAGTTAAACATGGATGACGTATTATCCTCCTGTGCTGACTGTCAAAACTAAAGAACGAACCAAACCATAGAAAACATGTTGCGGTCATGTGTGACTTCATAGGTAGTTGGGATGCATATTTTCTGCTTGTTGACATTTTCTATCAAAAACATGAATAACAGCTCACTTAACAATAGATTTTTTTGGAAACTGCAAATGAATTAATGGAATCTTACTCGCAATATTTAGCGACCATCGCGGGTTCAAGCTTCATTATGCTACAATATAAGTTCCATTATGTATTGAAGGAAATATACATAATAACCTCCATGTTGGTTAGAATGCAAAGGAAAAAACATTTTACGGTTCCAAAAAACTTCAAGGGAGAATTTTAAGATATCAATACAAGAAACGCGAACATTAGTGGTGACAGACGTCGCCGCTAAAACATTAGCTATGTCGCTGTTAAAGGTTTTTGCAACGATGCGTCGCCGCTAAATTAAAAGGTCGTTGGTGCTGATTCATTGTAAATGTTTCATATGTTGCCGATATTGCTCCCCGTCGCCGCTAATTATCAATGTCGCTGCAATAGCCTCATCGCGACTAATGTATGTCCATCGCCATAAATACTATTTTCCATTTTTTTGGTATTTAACATTAAAATTAAAAAATAAAGTATAAAAAGTATAAAAACCGTTGTGAAACTATAGTTTGTAGAAAAATAATTTGAAACATTAACCACTTAATAATATATACCGCATCCAATCCAAAATATTAATCTAAACATCCGGTCCAAAATACTCATCTAAACATAATGAAATATATCCAACATACTATTCTAAAATAATAAACCAAACAACACATTTCATAAATCTTAAAAAAAAAATAGCTAGTCATCCTCATCACTCCCCTCCTTTCATTCGTTTTCATTTCATCACGACAACGATCGAAACCAAATCTTCTAGTGCCGCGCTAAAAGCCGAATCTTTTAGTATTGTTTGCAGTGTTTCCAACTACAAAGAAAACAAAATATATTACCAATGTATCATAATAATATTATATTTTACAAATTAAGGTCGTGACGATTAAAGCATCCTACTTTTTCGTTTTTCCATTATATAACATTATACATTTTTTTCACTTTTCCATTATAGCGTTGTAGTATACTAAACTCAAAAATTACCAACATATCATTAATAATGATATGAACTTGATCATCATATCTCTAGATTTTGCTTATGTTAGAAGTTGATGTTTATTAGCCTCATTTTCATGGTCTTTTTGGGTAAGAGCTACCTTAGACCAAAGGAGTTTTCCTTTTGGACATTTTAGGGTAGATTAAGTGATAAAATATGATCTTGGACCTTCTTTTCACTACATGCAAGTTTTGTGGTGTCTTAACGGGTTAAGGAGTTGGAGTTTTAGCTTTTGGGCTCATTGTAGCCATGCATGGCCATAAAGATTGCAACTTTATGGCTTTATACGTTCCACTATGTTTGGATTTGAAGTTTGAACGGGTTATCTTAATCCATTATGTCATTGGTTTAGAAGTTGGTGATCTGTAAGCAAACGTCAGGCATTTGCATGGGAACACCCAACGTTCAGACGCCAGGAGTTCTGTTCTGAAGGCCAATGGGTCGATTTTTAGGCCTTCGGCCATTAGGGGTTTAAGGCTTTGGACTAGCATGTTGGGCTTCATTGGACTTTAGGCTTATGATGGGTTTGGGCCTAATTTGGAATATTAGGCCATATATATATATATATATATATATATATATATATATATTATATATATATATATATATATATGGCTTTAGGAATTGGGCCTTTGTATGGTTGTGTTAGGCATTGGTTTTGGGCCAGGTTAGATAAAGGGTAAATTGGTATTTACTCTAGCTTAGACTCTTAGATATGGGTCATAATCCAATTATTAGTTGGATGTGTTTTATGATGACAATACAAGGATTTTTCGAACCACCAGATAGAGATTTATCTGAGTCATTCAACAGTTAGAGGTGAGTTATTCCTCATTGTATTTTTGGGTAGAATGCACCAAGGCCGGCCCATTGGATTGATATCCTGGTTTACCATATGTTGCTATGTTTTAGTGATCAGTTACATCTGTATCTGGTATATAGGATGTTGTTATGCTATAGTAATTTATTGGATTTGCTTGATGTTTGCTGACTGGTCATATATTTATATGTTATGTATATGTCGACATGTTATGTATGGTTGGGCTGAGGCGGACCAGTAGAGTCTGAAGGCCAAGAGACCTAAGGCGGACCAAATAGATTGAGGGCCTATGAAGCGGACCATTCTGGCCGAAGGCCCGGATAATGGTCCTGATAGGCCGAAGGCCCGATGAGGCGGTCCAGTTATGTTGAAGGTTTTATATACACGTTATTTATTGTTATGTTTATGTGGTGGTACCTTTGTGTTAGTTTAGTGCCAAACGCCATTGGAACCTTCACTTTTGAGTCGCCTGTCATACCGAACTTCGTCAGTAATGTCTTTGTATAAGCCTCCTGGTTGATGAATATACCTTCTGTTCCCTGACTAATGTTTAAACCAAGAAAAAAGTTAATTGGACCCATTGCGCTCATTTCAAATTTAGTCTTGAGCAACTTTCTGAATTCAGCTGTTAAGCTAGGATTCGTAGAGCCGAAGATGATATCATCAACATAAATTTGAACAATCATTAGATGTTTGCCTTCTTTCTTTCAGAAGAAGGTAGGGTCAACCGAACCTTGCTTAAATTTTGATATTTTTAGAAAACGAGTTAAAGTTTCATACCAGGCTCTCGGTGCTTGCTTTAATCCATAGAATGCTTTATCCAGCACATAGCAATGATCAGGGAATTTCTCATTCACAAACCCAGGCAGTTGCTCAACATAAATTGTTTCTTCTAATTCTTCATTCAAGAAAGCACATTTGACATCCATTTGGAAGACTTTGAAGTTTTTATGAGCAGCATATGCGAAGAAGATCCTTACTTATTCCAACCTAGCTACTGGAGCGAAGGTCTCCTCATAATTTATCCCCTCTTCTTGACAATATCCTTTCACCACCAATCAAGCCTTGTTGCGAATGACATTCCCTTCTTTATCCAACTTATTTCTGAAGACCCACTTCAAGCCAACTACAGACGCATCCTTTGGTGTAGGTATCAACCTCCAAACTCAGTTCCGCTCAAACTCATGGAACTCATCTTGCATTGTTTGGACCCAATCTGAATGATCATGTCACACCCCCGAACCAGACGGCGGAAATGTCCGGGGGCTATCGTGACTCATTGAATACCATTACAATGCATATATATGAAACATAACATCATACATCACCAACATTTGGAATTGATACAACTGGTAACGTTTACATACATTACATTGTTCCAAAAATTACATTCAAAGAAATAACTGTTTGGTACTACTTAAATCATAGCAAAACGTCAGCTAGTACAAATCATCTTCACTTTATCTGTTACCTGAGAATACAAGTATTTTGAAAAACGTCAACATACGAAATGTTGGTGAGTTCATAAGTAGAGTTTGAAATCCGATGTGTTGTGTGAAAACCTTTAGAAAATCCGATATTTTCTAGAAATTGAATGGTGTAAAAATAATAAGTGATGATCCATGAGTATGCTTGTTTGAATTCTATAGATGTAAGCGTAAGGGTTGTGAAGTTCGATCGGAAATTCGTAATCGTTATTGAAATCCTAGGAAAACCCGACGTTTTCCTATCGTTGTATCGTTGTATTCCGGAGGCATCGAGGGTACAGAGGGTGGTGAAGTGTTGGGACAAGCGTTCGTGAAAACGACAAGTCAACAACCTTACAGCGATCCTTATAGGCGTCACTCGTAAATCTTCACGCGTCTCGATCCTCCGGACTTGTTAAGTCCCACGACCGAGGGAAGGAAAAAGGTACGAAACCTTCGGGTTTCCCCGCGTCGTCCGAGACCAAATGCAATTGCGAAGGGCCCGAAGCCCAACTCGCAATTGTGAGTTACAGACTTTACTAGCAGCACTGAAGGACCCTTGGGGACCAGCAGCATATTGCCATTGAAAGTCCTGTTACGTCATGTAGGGTCGGTAAAACCCAACACTTCGTAAGAGAAAGAGAGACCTTCGGGCCTTAAGATCAGGTCGTTGGGCTAGCTAGGCTCAACGGACAAGATTTTACACTTTTGGGGCCCAAAGATGGTGCGTAGACGTCTGTGCACACTCGCATTGTAATGGTAATCGTTATGGTTATAAATCGAAATGTCGTAACTTCGGCGTGTTAGTGGTTTTGGATTTTTATTGGTTCGAGACCGAACCAATTCGTTTGACAACGACTTTTGGTATTGCAGTATATTGTATTTCGTCGACAAGCGTGTTACCATCAATTGGTCAAATTGTATGTATTAACTAGCCTTGAAGATTTTCTGTTTTCAGCCCCTCCTTAATTGAAGAATTTACTCTTTTTACCCCTTTATTTAAAAATTTCCGGTTTGGTCCTTAAATCAATTTTCTTGACATTTTTATACCAAAAATTATTGACATAAGTATTTTTCCAGCAAACTTATCATAGAAAACAGTTTAAGCCCTTGAAACTT